TTAGACACACCTATCATAAATACACCTAAAAAGTAAAAAAAATCTTTTAAAAATTCACTAAATACCAAAAATACAAAAAAATACAAGAATTCAGTACATTTTTTATATTTTTATGTATTTATTAAAATTTTAAAATATTTTTTCACAATTTTTTTACTTTTTATATATATTTAACTAAGGTGTATTTAAAAAAGTAAAAAAAATGTTTAAAATTTAAAAAATCTTCATTAAAAACAAAAGGATATGAAAATCAAAAAATTCAATTTTCAAAAAACTTAATCAAAAAAACTCAAACCAAACACATACAATGTTTAGATTTTAACATGGATTTATGACTGATTTCTCCTTTAAAAAACGTCTTTAACGAACTCAATCTTAGGCTTGTTTTGGCAAAGAAAAATGCTTTGGAGTTCAAATTCTTGAACTCTAAAACTAGCTCTAATGAGCCAGCAGTGCGTTTCACTCACTGTGATGTGATATTTTAATCTTGATTTGTTTGTTTTTTTTTTTTTTCCTCCTTACTATGTCATTAGTGCTCCACACCAAATTTAGTGCTCTGAATCATTATTGTTTGACAAATGAGTAAAAAGTTATTTTTTTTGGCTTGTAACTTATTTTAAATTGAATTATCTCTCTATTTTTTTAATTTATATATTCTAAAAAAAATTTAAAAAAGTTAAAAGAAAACAACAATGATTCATTCCTTTTCCTCCCACCTCCTTTGACCCCCTCTCTCTCCTTGATTACATTTTTTTTTTTTCTTTTTTTTTCTCCTCTTCCAATCACCACCCGACACGTGACAAAGGGGTGAGGGGATGACCCCATGGTTCAAAATCAGTGTTAAATAAAAAAGAACCGTACTTCCGGGCCCCAATAACGTGGCAGGATGAACTTAACAGAAAATATAAAAAGAAGAAAAAATAATTTTTTTTATTCAGACCAATCACACGACCCAGTACCCCACTGCGGTCCGAAGCTTTTTCCAATAAAAAACACCGATTTAAAAAAAGGTCTATGAAGGCTGGTGGTAGTCAAGGCAAAGCAAAGCGATCCGAGGTCAAACACGCGGGCAACTACCAGGCTAACGCGTACAGCAATTTTATTTTGTTTGTTTTGTTTGTCTTGTCCCTATCCCTTACGAAACGAGAGATTTTTTTCGTATTTGTTCCTGATATATATGCCATCTTCTTTCGATTGTAATTGAATGATCAAAGAGAATAAGTAAAGGATCGAGTATAATCTCATATTATGTGTTGTGCAATGTACTTGTAGGTCGAGGCGAGGACATCGTCCCATTACTACCGGGAGCTGATCACTGTGAGTAGTAGTACTGTCGTAGTATGCTTTACTTACAGCTAACAATTACCATTAGCACTTTGTTAATTGCAGGTTAACTATGTTAGCGTATATGAACGATTAAATAAATGTGTATACCTCTGTATGGTTCTGATTAATAGTTAATATTAACATTCTATTCTCCGTAAGTAAATTACGTCATTTCTTAATGAATAAAGGGAACTTATGTTCATTCTTGAATAACGGTTTCAGTGTAAGTGTGAGAGCATATCGTTTTGCTACTAATGGGCCTGAGGCCGTTCAGTTATAAGTCATCGAGTATGGATATCTTCGAAGAATCAGAATAATTGAAAAAGCTATGTGTATCCGCATGAATCTGAAATAATTTTGTTGTGTTACATATGGACCCGAGATCGTTCAGAACCTACGATATGAATGCAAAGGTTTAACATTATTATGTGCTTTCTGTAATAGTTACTATTCTTATTCTGTTATACGCGAGACAACTGTGTTAATCTGTAACTAAACCATGAGAAACTTGTGTGCACTATTGTATAATGGTATTCTTAGGAAACTAAGATTATTCTGTTTCTGTTTATCCGTTCCAGTTATGCTATATTATGACATGATATGGATTGTTCGGTCTTTAAGACCTAATGATTTCTGGTATGGAACAAAGTGTTGTACGGAGCTAAGTGCGGCAATGCGAGTCACCTCTAGAATCCGTGCGAGACACCTCTTGAGTCCATACATACATGAACTGGGCTTAAAGCCAATCTGGGCCTATGGCCATTCTATATGATCTGTTAGGCCTGAGGCCAATCTGTATTTTCTGGTATGAAACAAAGTGCTGTACGGAACTAAGTGCTACAGTGTGAGTCACCTCTAGAATCCGTACGAGACACCTCTTGAGTTCATACATGCATGAATAGGGCTGAGGCCGTTCTGCATTAAGGGCTTAATGCTACTCTGTTTAAGGGCTTAATGACACTATGTTTAAGGGCTCAATGCCATTCTGTGCAAGGGCTTAAAGCCATTCTGTTTAAAGACTGGGCCTATGGTCGTTCTGTATATTATTGGGCTTAAAGCCGTTTTGTATTATATATGGGTCCGAGGCCGTTCTGTATTATATGTGAACCTGAGACCGTATTGAAATATAGTTATCGATAAGACCTGTATACGGTTGGTAGCTGGCTATTTATTTTATCCAAGGTTTTGCTTATTCAATTAACCTTCTTAAGTTGCTATTATTTACTGAGCCTTGCTCATTCTGTTTTATATATATTTCTGTAGGTGAGCCATCGGGGATTGACGTTGGAGTTGTACTGAGGTTCGCTTATCTGCCAAGTCACCTGGGGTACGTCTCCACGTGGAGGCCTTAATTTATTGTTGAGAGTCTTATAAATTATTAAGTCTTATGTAAGAGTGTGTGAGATCTATATAAAATCTGTGATTGTATAGGTATATTTAGAATGTATTTAAATGCTTAAATCCAATTAAACCATCATGTATGCACAAGCTCAATGGATGTTGTCTTTTATTGATATTACTTCCGCCAAAGGCCCCGTATATGGTTAAATATTATTTTAAAATTCTGTTTTGAGGCCTATGTATAGGCCGGTCATGGACCAAACTTTTAGAGGCGAGTTTGGGTCGTGATAATACTTGCATTTTGTTTATATGTAATTTCTGTTGCATTCCATATATGTATGATTAAGAGGACTTTCATTTGTTTATGGAGGTAATATGTGTGTAGTTTTGCTTGTTTTGAATGGAAGTAGATTTATGTTAATGGACATGGTAATGTTATTTGGGTAATAAAAAGTGGGGCGTAGCAACTACAATTCTAATGAGGCTGGCATTCTATTGGTAAGTTTATCTATATTGTATCAATATTTTTGGCTGTTTTCAATCGTTGTCGTCTTGTCTCATTTGAGTTGGTTTGATACTAGTTTGTCGACTCTTAAGATTATGTTCGGTAGCACAGTACTTAACAAAAATATTTAGTTCAATATATGGGTTCCGAACAGTAATGCAACGAGTCAGCACTAGTTTACCGAACGGTTCCATTTTGTACAAATTTCTCCAACTTGTGTTTTTTTGTAAGGGTTTTTCCTCTAAAAGTCCCTTTTATCGAGGGTTTTATGTCGAAATAAGCAGAAAAACCAAAATGTGATCGGAAAAAGAGGAGCAACGATATTGATAAGATGGGGAGTCAGAGGTTACTTGAGAAGGTGGCGTAATGATTTCATTGATTTGGACACTGTCGTTCACTGATGCAAAGAGAGGGACTGTCTTCAACAGCAGAAAGAAAGTCGATGTTCATGAAGATGGATCGTCTTTAACAATGAAGGAGAGAGGATGCAAAATTAGGTAAGTGTGTTCTTTGGGTGAGATGATATTATGAATAACGGTAAATTTGATGTGTTCTTTGGGTGAGATGATATTATGAATAACGGTAAATTTGATATTAAGTAGGGTATTAAAAGAAATCTTATTGAAATTTACGATTTGAGGTGGGGGTTCAAAGAAATAGGGGTCCAAAGACACTATATAGGTGTCAATAGCAGTTCTTAAAAATAATTTGAACAAAATAAAAACTAAACAAGTAAAGAGAGATTTATAAATAAATTCTCGAACATTGAACTTATATTTTAATATATTTTCGGTCATATTTAAATTTTATCTTCATTACCAAAATTAAATTCAAACATAATCACAATCAGCTTACTTGTTTTCATTTTTCAGAAAACACTATTCAGAAAATTCTACTTTCTTATTTTTCGTATTTTTTTTATTTTTACTGAATTTTTTTAATATTTTAAGCAATTTTTTTACTTTTTAGACACACCTACCATAAATACACCTAAAAAGTAATTTTTTTTTTAAAAAATTCACTAAGTACCAAAAATATACAAAAATACAAGAATTCAGTACATTTTTTATTTTTTTATGTCTTTATTAATTTTTTAAAATATTTTTTCACAATTTTTTTACTTTATATATATATATATATCTAACTAAGGTGCATCTAAAAAAGTAAAAAAAATGTTTAAAATTTTAAAAATATTCATTAAAAACAAAAGGATACGAAAACCAAAAAGCTCAATTTTCAAAAAACTTAATTTAAAAAACTCAAACCAAACATATACAATGTTTTTTTTTAGATTTTAACATGGATTTATGACTGATTTCTCCTTTAAAAAACGTCTCTAACGAACTCACTCTTAGGCTTGTTTTAGCAAAGAAAAATGCTTTGGAGTTTAAATTCTTGAACTCTAAAATTGGCTCTAATGAGCCAGCAGTGCGTTTCACTCACTGTGATGTGATGTTTTAATCATGATTTATTTGTTTGTTTATTTTTTTTTTCCTCCTTACTATGTCATTAGTGCTCTACACCAAAATTAGTGCTCTGAATTATTATTGTTTGACAAATGAGTAAAAAGTTATTTTTTTTGGCCCGTAACTTATTTTAAATTGAATTATCTCTCTATCTTTTTTATTTATACATTCTAAAAAAAAATTAAAAAAAAGTAAAAAAAAGAAACTTTTAACCCATGGTTCAAAATCAGCGTTAAATAAAAAACACCGATTTAGAAAAAGGTCTATGAAGGCTGGTGGTAGTCAAGGCAAAGCAAAGCGAAGCGATCCGAGGTCAAACACGCGGGCAATTACCAGGCTAACGCGTACTGCAATTTTATTTTGTTTGTTTTGTTTGTCTTGTCCCTATCCCTTACGAAATGAGAGATTTTTTTCGTATTTGTTCCTGATATATATATCATCTTCTTTCGATTGTAGTTTGGTTTTCTTGGCATGTCATCGAATGAAATCCCGCTTAATTGAAATTATTTATAGTAATAACTGATTTGATCGTGCAATCGGAAGAAGAGGCGGAGGAGGAACCCTAATACTATAGTATCATGGTGAAGGAGACGGAATACTACGATGTTTTGGGAATCAGCCCCACGGCCACCGAGGCAGAGATTAAGAAAGCTTATTATATCAAGGTACGTGTCACAGTAATCCCTAATGCTTTTGATTTAGGTTCCCTCAGTCTTAATAGGAGATAATTGTTTACATATATGAGAATAAATCACACGAGACTATCCTCATTAAGACGCGATCGCCCTAAAGCAGTATGGTGGCTTTTAATCTCTGTCACTCTCGGTCAGGGTTTCTATTTATGTATTTTTACTTCAATTCATCCCTACGTAATAGGAGAACTGAAACGTTCTATTAGTGTGGAACTAGAGCCTCATTTGGAGCTATTACTTGCTTTTGTAGATCCACTAGGAAGACATACTTGTTTTTAGAGCTCATCTCCCCAGCCCAAAAGCACACACATTAGTATTATTTTATGGTTTTCAATTCAAATGCTTACAACTGTACGTGCTTGCTTATTTTGGCTGCCTTCTCTTTTCTACTTCCTTCAATCAACAAAAATGTTGCCTGCCTTTCAAACTGGGTCTTCTCTGCTGTGCCTGCCTCTTTCAAACTGACTCTGTGCTTCTTTAGGTATTTGATTCACATCATTCCTGATAGGGCTACAACTGAGTACAGCCGAGATTTAGGGTGTCCGAGCTCGGCTTGCTGAAAATTAACGAGCTCGAATCAACCTCGTCAACCTTTTTGGGTTATGGTGCCCAAAAGCACTAGTTTTGTACATTAGTTGGACCTGCCATGGTAATGATGGTAGGGGAAGGCCGCCAAGTATAGGAAAAAATTGTCCCTTTTTTTTTTTAATGAGGAAAAATTGTTCCTGGTGAGTCGGATACGATATGAGAGAGAGAGCAAACCTCAATCCTCAAAGTGTTGTTTCACGTGCACCAATTGTAGATTATGCTATCTTCCCAAGGTTACCAAATCGCACAAGCAGACCTGTCAAATTCAAACTTCTTTATACCCTGGTAAGGAGGATCCCATACATGCACCATATTCTCTAATCTCTATTATTGAGGCTCTAGAGGCAAATTGCTAGCCATCCTTTTTTTTTTTTTTGGTAGTCTTTTTGTCTTTTTTTGTTGAACATTTAGATGTGTGAAAGCATTGCATTTAAGGTACCAAAAGAAGGTTGCGCATAGGATACATGGGATGCGTACTTGTGAACCGCAAAAGAACTTGAAAGTAAAAAAGAATCAACATTCTCTACGCTGTTCATAAATGTGCTGAGGGATATGTTCACTCTTCATACTCCACTATGCAGTAAACCAAAATTATACTTGTCAACCAACAATTTTTTTTATCCCAATTGCTCATTCAACACAAAATATTCCATACCCTATTCCTTCTAGCAATTTAGCCCACTCTCACCTATCAAAAGATAGCAACCAACGATCTTAGCATCACTCGCACAACATCAAATAAGGTGGCGACAAAGGTCACATTTCAAGATGCTTTGGTTGCATACTAGTGTGTGCATGCAACTTAAGTAGTCATAATCTTCCCCCTGAGCTCGTACAATTTAAAAAAAAAAAATCACTAGATCCACGCCCCGGGGTAAAAAAACCCACTCTACCTTTTTTTTAAGGAAAAACAACCTGAAACAACCCACTCAAAATTGAACCGTAAGATATAACCTCAAAATTATCAAATATCAAAGCATTACACTTTATTACATCATCCCTCCCCACCCTTTCACAATGAAAGCAAGATGATGTGCATTGAATTCAATGTCCACAAAATCGTCCAAAGAGGCCATTACTTGGGCCTTATCGTGTGAAATATTTATGCCATGACCTTTACATATTCTTCATTAGATTCTTAACTTCATATATGTAAGAGAGGGGGACAAGGTCCTCCACCCCTTTTGTACATATTGCCTTTGAAATTCTCAAATCTTGTGAAATGGGAGAGTTTGGGAATGACGAATCAAGTTCTAATCAAGAGTTGCGATGCCAAATGAATGTTCTAAATGATTCTCAAAAAGTAAATGATAGACGAATTCCATCTCCAAGTGAGATGGTACAGAAGGTTTCTATGCCCAATAATTGGGAGGCTACTAGGGCTGCAAATGAACCGAACTGTTTATGAACAAGCTCGGCTCGGCTCGGCTCGGCTCGGCTCGTTAAGGGCTCGACTCGGCTCGTTTACTATCGGCTCAACTCGGCTCGAATATTAGGCTCGTTTAGTAAACGAACCGAGTTCGAGCTCGCATAAGCTCGGCTTATTTATTTTTATTTAAATTATATAATAAATATAATATAAATAATATTTTTTACTTAAATATTTTTATTTAAATAATATAAATAATATTAAAAAAAAATTTATTGGGCCGAGCCAAGCCGAGCCGAACTCTAATTTCATTAATATTAACGAGCCGAGTTCGAGCCCAGTTTCTTATTGAGCTGAGCTCGAGCTCAATAAACGAGCTTGATTATAAATAATATTAAAAAAAAATTATCGAGCCGAGCTGAGCTCGAGTTTTATTAAAATTAATGAGCCGAGCCGAGCTCGAGCCCAGTTTCCTATCGAGCCGAGCTCGAGCTCAGCAAAGCTCGGCTCGGCTCGGCTCGATTCGTTTGCAGTCCTAGAGGCTACTAAGGTGGAGAATGGAAGAAAACTCAAAGTGAAACTTTATAACCCGAAAAGTGTTTCTGATATCAAGATGAGGTACTAGTGTTTGGAGCTGTCCAAAAGTCACTGCTGTTTTCATTCCAGCCTATGCTGTTGTTCACTTGGTAGTTTCCATTGGATTTTCTCTATTTTAGTGCCTTGTTAATACACTTGTGTTTACTGGATTGTGAATTATATGTTTCTGCATATCTTGCATTTGTCCTTCTCAGGTCCACTAGTTCTTGATTTATCTTTCTTGCTTCCTATCTTGATGGCTGTAAATACTAATAAATAATAACTAGTTGATCTTTTATTTATTTTGTCTCAATCTTTTGTTTATATGGCTGCAGGCACGGCAGGTCCATCCAGATAAAAACCCAAATGATCCTCTTGCTGCACAAAATTTTCAGGCAAGATTTCTCGCCATAAATTTTATTCCTATGCAGAAGTAATGAAAAGAAAGGTGAATAGAAATACTGTGAATTGGATTAACAATGGACTTGATTATTTACTCATTCATGTGCTTCAAGTAAAGGCTTTTGTTGTTAAGAAAATTTCTTATTGTTTGTATAAGAAAAAATTGGAGAATTCCATAGATGGATTTATATATACATGGCCTAACTTGATGGATGTATGCATATCATTCTAGAAATATGAAAAAAATATACGTTTCTTCTTTGGAATAGCTGGAATTAGCCTATATAATTGGTATATGTTATGTTTGTTCATGATGTTTTGAGAAACATCTGTTCTGTACATTTAAAAAATATATATGTATATATATACATACAAAATCTTACACATTTCAGTTCAGGTTTTGGGAGAGGCTTACCAAGTGCTGAGTGATCCAGCCCAACGACAGGCTTATGATGCTTGTGGGAAGTCTGGAATTTCAACGTCAGTTACATATTCTTAACCTCATATGGATCAGAGCATCTAAAGTTTTGCGTGTACTTATGCAGGAATGTGAATCCTATTAAATTAATTAATTAATTTTATTTTTTCATTCTTATTTGCATACTTCCTCTGCATTGCAGTGATGCAATCATTGATCCTGCTGCAATTTTTGCAATGCTCTTTGGGAGTGAGCTTTTTGAGGATTACATTGGCCAGCTTGCCATGGCCTCAATGGCTTCATTGGATATTTTTACAGAAGGAGAGCAGTTTGATGCTAAAAAGTTGCAAGAGAAAATGAGGGTATAATTTCTCCATATTACTTATTGATGGAATACCTGAACTCAAATAGAAAATAACAAAAACCTCAAAATACCCAAAAGACATATCTTCACACAGTCCACTGCACTAGTTATGTTAATGTTTTTAGAAATAGACGAAAGCTCTTTACATGATTATGATTTCATGAAAATTTCCATAATGTTTTTAGTTCCTTGTTACAGTTTAAAAACATGGATAATAGCCTTTATCATTAAAGTCGAATTTTCATTTAGGAGATCCATGTTTATAAATGCCAATGTTAATGATCATTAAAAGAAGACAGGTAGGCAAGAATGCAGTATTGAATTTTGAAATTACTAGAAATGAAGTTCGTGCAAATGAGAAATCAGTATTAGTCGTGCTAATGTTTTATAAATAAAGAATAATGGGAAAAAAAAATAGAAAAAATAAATAGAGGAACGTGTCAGATATATGATGTGTTAAAAATATTGTCCCTTGCACCTTATGTGAAATTACAAAAGTGAGTTATTTTTTCTCAAGATATTAATTGATTTTTATTTTGGTAAGTATATTGTAATTAACTATATATGTCAACGGGCATTTTGATATTTGAAAGCATCAACTAGATTTGTAATATTTTCTTTAAAAAAAATTATTATTACCCCTACAAAATGGGTTTCGCCCTCAATTGATAGCCATCTTAACAGACACTTGCAACATTGTCTGAATCATAGTTCGGATTTTTGGAGGCTGTCAGGCCAAATTTTCATTGGTTACTTTGTGCAAATTCCTTTTCCACTGAAGGTTGTTTCAAAGGGAAAGAGAAGAAGAAGCTTGCCGAAATACTGACAAAGGTCGACTCAACCTATATGTGCAAGGAAACAAAGAGGACTTTGTTAGTCATGCTGATGCTGAAATGTCAAGGCTCTCCAACGCTGGTAATGTGTCATATGTTTCTATTATTTTCTATCTTTCGCCATCTTTTGTAGCTTGGCTCGGGACCACATCAGTGTTTGATATGTTATTCCTTTTGTTCACATTCAAGGTTTTGTTTGAACTCTGAAACTTTTCTTGGTGCATTCTGTATATGCATGCAATCTGTCAAATATTCGATTTGCAAATATAATTTTCAAGTCCAAATGAATGCTAAAATGGCAAGAAAAGGAGCCGGAAAATCAACTGGACTTCCTTCCCAGTTGTTGTGAACCTTTTTTATTACGTAAAAGCCATTTAATCTTGGCTACCCCTAATGTGAATTCTCTATTGATTTAAAATACGAACCTGTAAATCTTAAGCGTTTTGAAATTAGAATCATTCGTACTCTACATTTTGCTTTCAACATTCATTTCAATTGCAAGCACATCCAATTAGAACCGAAGGTTGCTCGAATGTGTCATAGTGTTTGGTTGCCCTGCATTTTGTAGTGCAAATTGTTAGGAGTCCAGCTTTACACTTGTTTTCCCCTCGAGTCGATATATAGAAGTATAGGCCTTGATTATAGATGCATAGAACTATAACTAAGAGAAAGCGTCCGTTCATAGAGGTTGTTTGTTGTAGTTTTCACAGCTGCTTGTACTTCTTTTTTTTTTTTCTTTCGTCTAGTGGTGTTCGTCTTCTGAATTTATTTGTACAATCAAATTTGCGAACATTGTATTATCAAGCTAAGAAAAAAAGATCCTATTAATGTGTAGCACTTGAACTCTTTCTTGTCCACTATTGTCCAACTACCCTTAAACTCATTGAAAACCCTCATGATCTCCTTTAATCCACCTTTATCTCTATTCTCCAAAATAATCTCCTACTTGCAAAATAATCTCCTCCCCCCAATTCTGGCCTTCCACTTTCAATAAGATATACCTTCCCCTATTTGAGAGGTATTCCTGCCTTCATCTGTCGAACACCTGTTTGTATCCCGACTCCCAATTGACCCAATGAAGTGGAACGTGCATGCGCTCACTTTGGCTATGTCCTCTCCCTTCTACAAAAAGAACTTGTCCTCGAGTTCCGTTTTAAATTGCAACGTTGGTAGCAACAATTTTGTGCTGGTTGGACTTATTTTTGCTTCCCCCCCTCCTTTTATTGTTTACAAAAAATTGGAGGAGTCTGGAGGTCAAGATTTGGTTTTCATACCAAATTGATGTAGAACACTCTAAAGGAATAGAAGAGAGAGAAGAAGAACACTAGGGCGGCCACAACCCTAAACTCAAATAGCCACAACCTTAATGTCAATAATATTGTTTCATAGCTAAATAATACAATGCCAAAACCTAATATTTATAAGCTGGAAACCCTAATCAAAATAGGAAAGTGAATCCTATTATTATTTGGAAACCTAATCCCTAATAAAATAAAATAAAAACTAAGGCCTCGTTTGGCAACAGGCCGGTTTAGCCAAAAAGCCAAAAAGTTACTAAAAAAATCAAAAAGCCAACAACCCATACCAAAAAGTCAAAGATTCTTTTTTCTCTCTACTTTTTGCACATATTTTCGTAAAAAGCCAAAAAGTCATCCCAAATATACTAGTTTTTTTTAGCTCATATTTTAGTCAAATAGCCAAAAAGTTACTAAATTAGCTTGTTCCCAAACGAGGCCTAAATATCAGTAGGACTCCTAACTAAGCTATAATGAAAAATAAATAAATATAAATTTCGCAAAAGTAAAATTGCAATTATAAAATTGCAATGCCAAAATGGGTGCATACACATTCTGCATGCAAGCTTTCGGAATGTTTTTCTGTATATTCAATTGTGTATTTGGTACAAGAAAACATCGGTATATATAACAATCCAAATCCTAGAACTGAAAAAGGAAACAAAAATATATGCTCAATCCCTAATATAAACATATATATATAAAACCTAATATTCTCAAACCGCGGCACCCAACTTGTTACTCCCACCCACTATTTCTTCTTGCCTAGTCTCTTCTCTTCTCCCCCAATTCATCTGGTGACTTTGGCAACTGCCTCTCCATAATCAACATGAGCTCACTTCATAGCTCAGTTGCAAGAATTGCCTAATATGGGTAACATTTCTGTTCTAGAACTACGATTCTAAGGTTAAGAGCTAGAATCAAGTTAGAACCGTATTCTTGCCAAGATAGAATTGCGTTTACATAGGGATGGAACCACTCAAACATATGAATTCCAAAGAAATAAAAGAAAAGCTATCAAGACAAGAAAATATGTAAAGATCATTTTTTCCCCATCTAGATTTTGGCTTTCCCATTAGGAATTAAAGGATGGATATTTTTGATAGATCTTCCAATGTGTGATCTATCAACTTTGGCCTTTCTTGGACTTGCTAAAACCATTAAATTTGACCCAATTTATTAAGTAACCCCACCTGACATAAAAATCTTAAAAAACGGAAAATAGTAACTAAACTTAATCCATACTAATATATATAGGGACGGCATTATTTGGTGTCTCCCAATGAAACTGTCATTCAGTCAATATTTAAAATTATCAAAAGTTCCACATTTAGTTAATGTTGAAAATTTTTAGAGATTTGTAAACTCTAATAACTGTAAGGATATAAAAGAAAAATCTATCCTACACGTCTCATTTCAACTATTCATTTTTCTTTCACTTTTTTATTTAATTCGACTTGCACACGTGATGCGTGTGCACATCCTCTAGTATAATTAATTTCCTAGGTAAGTGCAAACTAGAATCTTGCCAAATGACAATATTTGCTCTCGAGTCCAGTTTACCCTTACTCTTGTCATAATGCTTGCCATTGTTGTCAAAATACGAATCGGATCGTGGATTGTTTTGCTAAAACAGTGAATCGTGAATCATAAGATTCATTTTTTAAATATAATATATATAATTTTATATATTTATATACGTATAAAAATTCACTCATAATGTTTAAAATGATGTAAATATCAATATAACTAAATTGTATATATGTATATACACATAGCATCATGTATATCAATATAATTAATTGATCTCTTCTATATGTCTTGATAGTTTGGTGAAAATAACATCGTTTCATGCATTATAAAGCAAAAAAAGAAAAAGAAAAAGAAAAAGAACTGAATCGCAAATTTCTGATTCAACATGTTTCGAATCTTTTTTGTTGAAACTTATATTGAATCGTATGAATCAAATCGTGAATCGTACGATTCTAATAACCATGATGCTTACACTTCCTTTACATGATATTAGCATCGAAAGAACTCTTCGATGCTATTAATTTCATTGAGAAATTTTGGGGGTCCAGCTTTAACATTGTGTGCTTGGATACCGAGGCAAAATTTTAATTAGGGAATAGAAGAAATATAAATTGTCATCATTTGTTCACCTTTCTTTATTTTATTGCATTCGTTACCTACATTGCTGCAATGTGAAATGATTTAATCTGATGAATTTCATGCTTTCTTCCAACAGCTTATGGTGTTGAGATGTTGAATACGATTGGCTACATATATGCAAGACAGGCAGCTAAAGAGCTTGGGAAGAAGGCAATATACTTGGGAGTACCTTTCATTGCTGAGTGGTTCAGAAACAAAGGCCACTTCATTAAATCCCAAGTTACAGCCGCAACAGGTTGGTGGATAAGAGATGCTTTAAATGGCAAAAGCCTTGTTCAATCAGTTTCCTCTTAGGTTGCTATTTTATCTGATTACATATGGGCACGTCTTTCATTATTCTCAAATACGAATTTGCACTTAAGACTGTTTTTAAGCTTTTGTATTTTGGTTTCCAAGAAAAGTATTGGCCTTGGTGCTCCCTTACCCTCTATGGACATGTAGGAATCAAGAATGAAAGTTAAATTGCATTTCACATTTGAATGTCTAGTATCTGTTAAACTGCATTTCAAATGAAGATGTGCACCCCGACTGTTTTTCAGGCTTTGATATTTTAGTGTCTAGGCAGAGTATTAACCTGTGTGCTTTCTTGTGGTGGGGTGTGTAGGAGTCAAGAAAGAATATTGAACTACATTGCTTCTTGTTGCTGAGTTGTGTACATGTTTTGGTTTTAAGACTCTTGCAAGCTTGTTCTTTACCAGTGATGCAATCAACCCCACCTATCACTACGCTTTTGTGGAATCAACATTAGTAATGACTTTCTGGATACTTGTTGTTAAAAAATACTCTATTATTGATTGATATGTGTTGTTGTATTGATATATTGTTACAAGATTGATTGATTACAATTCCTATACAATCTATATATAGAAGAAAATGTGGTAGTAGGTGTAGTGGAGGTGATAGTGGGTTAGGTGAAGTGGAGTGTGTGGTGAAGTGGAGGTAGGTGAAGTGGAGTGTGTAGTGGAGTAGGTGAAGATAAAGATGGGAAATTCTAACACTTGTCTAATGCTTAACTAGTAAATAATCTCCTGTTTTTCCTTCTGGTAAGCTATATATGTGCGCGTGTGTGTTTGGGCTGGGGGAGCTGCAGTTTTTTAAAATTTTCATCTCTGTTTTTCATTAGCATCAAGGCCAATAAGGTTGTTGGCTAGCTGTTCAGATATTGATTTTTTGACTGTTCATTAATGTTGTATGCCATTCATATATCTTGCCCTCCCCAAACCAAACCCCACTTTAGCGTGATCCTTGTGCATTGAGTGGCCCTTTTTTTCGTTACCATGGTTGTGGAATCATGATCTGTATCTTTTATTGTTTTTAGTTATTCTTATTCTTGTTTTAAGCATGCATAGCATAGCATAGCATCATTTATCATAAACTTTCTTCAACTTTAGAAATAGGTAGGAAGGGATAGTAGATAGGCAGGTTCATACAAGACTTAAATTTTTGTAAGAATGAAGCATTTGACAACATATAACCAATATTTTATAAAGGAAGTGGATATTGTTGAGGTGAAACAACAAGAATGTTTTTCAAGAATTTAAAATGAACAATAGAGCATCAGAACCAAACAACTATCCCGACCGTAGTGGCCATGATTATCGCTCAACCCAAACAACTATTTCAACAATAGCAACAACAAAATGATTATACTGACCGTAGTATGGGGAATAAATAGAGCATAATCATGACCACTAGAGTGAAAATCAATCTGAGTAACAGCGAACTAAAATTGCTCATATTGCTCATACCAGGCATGAGGAGACTATTTTAAACCAGAAAGGGCACAACGCAAATGACAGACAGTCAAGAGACAAGAGGGGGATTTTTGACTTAGTATTGCTCATTAAGATATTCATAGAGAGGGATTTTTGACTTCCAATGGAGAAAGAGACGACTAATAAATTGAAGCAACATAAAATCAAGGTACAAACAATGATCATCGTAGTTAAAGGAACAAAAGTTTCTTCATTGTCGATCTTGTACTCTTAGGAGAAGCCCCTGGCAACCAACTGTGGCTTATATATCGTTCTATGCCATTAGAGTGGGTTTTAACCTTATAAACCGACTTGTAGCCAATGCCATTCTTGCTCACCGACAAAGGAACCAACTCCAAGTATTCGTCTTCTCTAGAGAAGTTAATTCGTCTTGCATAACACACTCATTTAGGATCAGTACAAGCTTCGTTATCATACTGAGGTTCAATGTAAGCATGTATAGAAGATAGACAACCATGAAAGAAAAGCAAGTATTAGTGAAACCAAGTCAGGGTTATACGAGCACGAAAGGGATAATGCCATTTTGGAGGATTAGAATTCATAGAGGTTGGGGAACGTGTGCCAGAAAGCAAAGGAAGAGCCTTCTTGCGAGAATTGACCGAAGGAAATGAAGTAATACTAGAAGAAGGAAAGAGAGAAGAGGGAAGCTCTGAAACAATCAACAGTAGTGTTAAAATCATCACCAAATATGTCAGCTAGAAGCAAATGCTTTGGAGGAAAAGAAAAATATAGGAAGTACTCAAGAAAAACTATTTGACAAACCTATTAGAAACTAGATCATAACATCGATAGATTTTCTAATGAATTCCGTAATCCAAAAAGATAGAGAACGAAGTGAGCACTGAGCTTGTTGTGCTCTCATTTAGGTAGAACAAAATCGGTTCCCAGAAACACGTAACATAGAGTAACTGGGAACTTGTCCAAACAACTTTTTATATTGTGAAACTCCAAAGAGAAGAGTAGGCATATGATTAGGAAAATAGAGTGTCGTAAGAAGAGCCCACTTCCAAGGACTATAGGAACAAAAGAGGAAAGAAGAAGAGATCGAGTAGTTTCAAGGATGTGTCTGTGTTTTCGTTTAGCTCTACCATTTTGTGTTGTAGTATGTGAAGAATGATTTATAGTACTGGAAACACATCGAAGGAATGTTATGAAGCATTGACGCTCTAAAATAGGTGCCATAGCGGTGTTAGATACAGAGACATGGTGGGGCCACATACGGGACACACTAAATGGTGTGTTTTTTTATTTAGTTAATTTGTTTTCACGAGACACACCAGGGACATACCTACTAGTTTTTTCCCTCCCTTCTTTAGTGCTTTGGATGGATATTGGATGTCAAATGTTCATTACTTTTTTCTTTAAATTTAAATAATTAATAGATTATTCATAAAATAAAAAGATAAACTATAAGAGTTAAATTAAGAGTTAGGTTTCTTTTTTAAGCATTGAATTAGTGTTAGTTTTTGTTAATTTTGATTGTTTGATGTAATATTGTTCTACATAGCACATAAAAATAATTTTTTTTATTGTCGTCTGCGTGTCTCTATTTTTTTTTGAAATCACTGTGTTTCGTGTCTATGCTTCTTAGAAGAAATCTATAAATTGTGAGAAAATATTCACCACCCTCTAATAATCTTTACATTGGTGGAGAAACCAAGTTTTTAACCATTGAATGATAAGTATGATAGATATGAAAGAAATCAGACTTATTTGATATCAGATATTCCCTACAAAATCGACCATAATTATCAATGAAAAAAGCATAGTACAACGACCCACCTTTATTAGTAACAAGGGAAGGTCGTCCCACACGATAGAAAAAGGTGAAATAGAAACAAAATGACTTGTTCAAAGGTAAAACAATTTTCCAAGTCTACAATCATTGCACTAAGAAATGTTACTAAAAATCACTTTATCCGAAGAGCATTAGATTGAATTAAACATTCAAAATGCTCACTTGACAAATAACCTAATCTAGAATGGCAAAGATAGAATTGATTCGAATTCTTGTCTAGGAAAAAGAAAGATGATGCTATGGGAAGAGGACTTCACAGGAATGCGCAAGCTTTCCAATATGCATAAGTTATTAGTCCTATGGCCCCGATCCCAATAACCTTTTGGGACTTGCGATCCTGAATGGCACAATCATAAGAAGAAAAAAGAGCATCAAAGCCCGAATCAAAAAGTTGACTAATAGATAATAAACTAATGGACAACTGGGGGACATAGGAAAACATCAGGTACAGACAATGAAGAAAAAGATGGAAGAATTGAACCAATGGAAACAACATTCATAAGAAAATCTTTGTAGTACAAATCATGATAGGAGTAGAGTAATTACTACGAATGGACACACTAGGCGCCATACGGTGTGAAGAACAAGAATCAAATATCTAACTGGTGGGAGAGATATGTGTGATATAAGAACCTTGCTAACCTGATTATGTGTAGCCATAGCAGAAGCATGTGGCTGAGTCATAGATGAGGATGCTAATATAGGTTGTAACTGAGCTAACTGTCTGAGCATAAAATGCACCATGGAAAATGAGAATTTGTTGGAAGTGGGTGCGTCTAGTGCTGCCGGAGAATGAGAGCATTTGGTTGAACTAGAGGACTGAAATGATGGTCACGAGGAAAGCTAAGAGGAGGTATGTCCTTTCTGATGTGTTAGTCTAGGGCACACACTCTTCCATTGATTTTTTTGACGATAGAAACTCACTGGTCCGAGGCAACAAGGGTCTTTGTCTTTCCCGTAACCTTAACAAGGTGAGGTGTTGGAGTAGGCAGTAATGAAGGCGAAGTAGAGGAAGTAGCAAACATTATTAGTGAAGGATATGAACTTTGAGCACCTTTCAAAAGCGTTTTCTCAACAATCAGTTCTCGAACTACATCAATTGATGGCAAAGGTGAACAATGGAGAATAGCTTTGGATGTTTATTGTTTTTATTTTTGGGTTGGTTTGGGTTTAGCCAAGATCGGTGGTGGAGGTGCTACAGAGCTAGGTTAGGGGAAGGGTGGGGAAGAGGTGATGGAACGCATGGATGCTTGCTGGTCATTGCTTGATGCGGTTGATTTGGTTGGAGCCTAATAGGCGTACTTTTGTGGGTGAGGTGCGTTCGGTTTTATGGTTGGAACGACATTTGCTTACTGTGTTGCATAGTTGGATTACAGTTTTAGTAGATCTGGATGTGTTGTCCTTTGTAGATTTCGTAGACAATTTGATTAGTTTGTTGTGTTTTGGCTGTTTCTTTTCGTTTTGCCAACATAGAGCTGGTTTTTGTATTTGTTGCATCGTCTTGATGTTTTCTCAATAAAGTTTGCTTATTTATCCCCCCCCCCCCCCCCCCCCAAACACCAAAAAAATAAAATAAAAATAAAAATAAAAATATGGAGAATAGCATCACGAAGAGGCTTAAATTGATCTTTAAACACAAGAAATTGTGCTAACCTTTGTCTC